GGGGGGGGGGGGGGGGGGGGGGGGAGACAGAGACTTCTGTCCTAGCATTAAAGTGACATCTTTTTCTAAGGCTGCTATATAGGTGCTGCGAAGACCCGAACGGCCACTCAGTGACGGTAAAGAAGTACCGATTACTTTTTGCAAATAAATAAATAAATAAACCACCGGATTTTTGGAAGCTCGTTTTCTCTCCACCCGCTTTGTGAGATATGCTCCGCTCATTTAGACGAGATGCGCGAGAGGATCTAAGCGCGACCGGTGGAAATGAGGCATAGGCATCGAGGAATAAGATTGCACCAGTCGAATTTCTGCTTGAGGCATAGCTGTGCGGATATTTGTCAGAAGGAGGGTCGAAAACAACCACTTTCCTATCGCTGTGAGCTGTCTGCTCTTGAACCATAAGCAATCTTTCTTTCTTGACATAAACATACACGTGTTCTGTCTGGAGCTTATATTGTTTGCTTTGAAATTCTGGGTAGGTCCTCGTTACTCGGGGATGCAAAATATTACCTTTTACCAGACTCTCCTTGTTTCCTCTAAGGGGTTAAGGGTGAGACTGAAAACTGTTTAGTGTACATTAAACTGGTTCCGATTAAATGATGACAGGGATAATTCACTCATATTCTTATTCAATCTGAAGCTGCAATCCTAAACCCCCTTACTCAGAAGTAAGTCCGATTAAAATGAGCGCAACTAATTTCTTCAGGATAAATATAAACGGATGGGAACGATTCCAAAGGAGTAAGAATGTGGGTTATCCTCAAAGATAGATGCATCCATTATAGATTCACCTAAACAGAAATTAATTCTACCGTATTTGGACTGCAAAATCTAAGGTGACCACCAGATGGCAGCGATGCGTTTTCTGTATCTCTTCGTTGCTCTCTTCTATCTGGAGGTTTGCAGCTCAGACATGACAGCCCTAGCTTAGCTACTGTATGCCTAAACAAAGCCACAGACAGTTGGGATAATTTTTATTTTGAATATACTTGTGTTTTACAGCATAGACTGAAATAAGCAGCCATTAAAACATGTTTTCAGGATAGCTTTCAACTTTCTAAAACAAAGTTTACAATAATGTGAAATAAACAGTCTTCATCTGACCATAAAGTAGCTGTCAGTTACACTTCAGTGGAGATGGTGTTCAAAACTAGGATACCTCAGTTGAGAATGCTCAAGTCCCGGCTGCCACCTGCAATACTCTGCCTGGAAGGTCTCAGCTTTCTTTTCTCTCTCCCCCCCCCCCCCCCCCC